TATTTATTGAATATTCAATTGTTTATTATATTTATTTCATTATTTATATTTTAAATAAAATGAAATAAAAAACAATTAATTATTTTACTTAAATAAACAATTTACATAATTCATGACATATTTATAAGCAATTAAATTCAATATTAAAAAAATAAAAAATAATTAAATATTTATATAATTTCTTTACTGATATTTAAATTCTTTATTGATATTTATTTAAATGCTTTGCAAATAATTAATTTGATTGATATTTTAATTTCCTAATTTAATTGCTTATTTGTTATTTTACAAATGTTTAAATATTTATTTAAATTCTTTATGTATATAACTTATTTAATATTTAATTATTTCTTTTAATTTTTTTCTAACACTTATTTTGATCGTTTATTTTAATATTTTCATTGCTTATTTTAATTATTTTACTAACTCTTAATTTAATCATTTATTTTTAATTAATGTTTAAATAATTTTTTTAATTCTTTATTCATATTGATTATTTAATATTTAAAAATTTATTTTAATTTCTTTGCAAAAATTTAATTTGATTGATATTTTAATTTCCTAATTTAATTGCTTATTTGTTATTTTACAAATGTTTAAATATTTATTAAAATTCTTTATGTATATTACTTTTTTAATATTTAATTATTTCTTTAATTTTTTTTACTATTGCTTAACATAAAATAAGTAATTAAACTAAATTAGCAAATAATAAATATTTAGATAAATAATAAAACATTTATATTAAGCATTTCAAAGAAATAATTTTAAATACATAATATACATTAAAATTAAACAATTCAAATAATAATTAAATATTAGACAACACAATATAAGCAATTAAAATAAATAGTTTCAATAATTAAAGGAAATATATAAATAAGTAATAAAAAAAATTTGTTTGCGCCTAGATAACGGCCGTCTGGGCCAGTCAACTGGGCGCAGCGCCCAGTTGACTGGGTGCCCAGCGCCCAGTTGACTAGCGCCCAATCGACCCAGTTGATTGAGCCGTCTGGGCCAGTCAACTGGGCGCCCAGACGGTCCAGTTGACTGGGTTGTCCTGTCTGTTGTGCCAACCGTCTCCTTCGTGGAGATCATCAGAAAACTCCTTTTTTGGCGATCTTCACTCCATTTTCCCCTCCCAAATTGTTATTCTTACCCAAAAATCGTGCATTTTTCCAAAAATCAACACATGTATCTAAAATCATGTTTTTTTTTTTCCAAAAATCAACATAAAAACATTAAATATGGGTAGCCTGTTTTCCTTTTTTGTCGGTGCTACAGTAATTTTCCTATTTCCTTTCTATCTTCTCTCTCTTCTTTAAATGGTAACGGTAAATTTGGATTTCTCTTGCTTTTCAATATTTTAAACATTTTTGCTGTTTTTTTTTTTTAATTGGTCAAAGGCCTCTTTGGAAAATTGGCCGGGTCAACCGGCCAATGACCACTATTTCCTCGATTTGAAATGAGGGCAAAATGTAATTGCCGGGTTTTAAAAATGGGACTTTCCTTTCGAGGCGGGTCAAACCCACATTTTTAAAATTCAAATTTTGATTCCCATTTCCTCATGTGCGCCACAGAACCTTTTTTTTTTTCTTCTTTTTTTTTTTTTTTTTTTTTGCTTTTCTTGCTCATTGTGTCAAGTTTTGTGTCAACAAATGTGGTCAAGTAGCATTAAGGCTGAAGCAATAATTGCAGAGAACATTTAGCATTTGCAATTTGTTAAATTACAGTCCCTTTGAATTCTTTTATTGTTTATAATAGTTTTCTTAACATGGTTAAATGAATAGGGATATTTATATAATTTAATTTTTCAAAAAAGCATATACAAGTTACCGCCATCTGGTAATAAACACTTATGTCAAGATAAGTAACTTTTTTCTTATATCTCCTCAACATCAAGACCTAACAATAGAGTCCGTGCTATTGCGCCAAGTTGGAACTAATGGTTGCACGGGAAGCAAGATTAGAAGAGAAATAATATAGCACATATCGATTATGCTACAAGCTAAAAAACGTCTGCTCACATTCCGTAATTGTGGATTGTCATTTTTTACTACACATTTTGAATTTCACTTTTCTAAGTCTCATTGTTGTGTAAAATAAAAAAAAAAATCTTATTCAAAACTAGGGGAACATTACATACCACTTTTGTTATGTTTGGCATGTTAAACTAAATACAACTCAAAATTAATCATACTAAGCAAAATTCGTATGTAAATTTCAATGCGCCGAACTCTCTCCTTCAGAGATGGAAATAAGTGGAAATGCCCGGCCTTATTTCCACTTTGGCCTTTGAACAAATAAAAAAAAGTAAAAAATGAATTTACATAAATAAATTACAAACTCTCCATTTTGCCCTCATCTTCAACAAGGCTAGAGAGAGAGAGAGAGGAGAAAAAACTCCAAAAAAAAAAAGGAGAAATTTCAAAAATCACACAATCGGCTGTTAAGATCGGATCCGATCGAACTTCAACGTCCTAACATTCTACCTAACACCACAAAACTCGTCCATTATTTTCAACAAGGTTAGGATTTTTTGGATTTAAGGTATTGATTTTTCATTTGGCATGATTTTTGAATTTGGTTTGGTGTTTAATCTTCATTATTTAGGTAGATTATTGCGTTTAAAACAAATTTTTGACCAAAAAAAAAAAGGTACCCAAGCTCGCTGGAATTTCCTGCGGAGAAGAACAGTCGGTCACAGTCAACCCAAATCGACTAGATACCAATATTACACATGCTTTAATGCATAAACAAATGAATAAATATAATATCAAAGCCTTTAGACCAATTCCTTTGAAAGAAATTACACATGAACTGATTATGTATTGTCAAGTGAATTTAAATTCATGTTGAAAATTTGTACAAGAACAATACACACGGGCAAGTGAACTAGAGAATTGGGAGAAACCTACTCCAATCCAATGACACTTGATGGCTTCTCAAAATTTGTTACAGTTTCATAAATGGAGATAAACTAATCACTAACACTAAATTGAAGAACAAAACCTTATCGAACACAAGAAAGTAAATTCGGCAAGTGGGGAAATCTACTTGGTTGAATGAAACATCTTGGGCATATAACACGCTATAGTATGATAACTTAATTCTATTTTATAACACGTTATAGCACGATAACATTTTTTTCCCCCTTCATAATTTGGTTGAATCTTTTTGGTTCGCGAACTGTAGGCAAATTAAAAAACACATCCAGTATGTTGAAGCGTGTCATCAATCTCCAAAAGAAAGTTCTTTTTCTTAGGGAACTTGAAGAAATTTTGGAGGTTATCCAAGCTACGTAATTCCAATTGCGGTGATCCCAAATTATTCCAAAAAGGAACTATTAATTTAGTCGAAGAAAAGCATGGAGATTTGGTATTATTACAATAAAGTAAGCAAATTTGGTGAATCGCTGCATTGTCATTATCATATATTAAAGATAATATAATATATTTTACATGACGACAATTTAAAATAAGTGTAAATGTGATTTTCTAAATCAAATATTTATTTTCAATGCATTCCTGTCATATTTTCTTCTTATGTTATTGTCGGATTAATTATCATGTTTCTGTTCTTTTTAATAGATAATATAGTCTATGAATTTAGTACTTTACATTTGTCTATTAAAAAATATTGTTGGTTTTAAAGAACGTGCTATTATAATTTCAATATTTCAGAAAAACTCTCAAAGTAGCACATGTTTCGAAAAATATATATCTTATTGTGTTTTTGAAGAAACACGAATTTATACATTTTAATATTCTAGGAGAATTCTATTACTTATGAACAATTATAACCAAGTGTGTATCAATATTTCAAAGAATATTGTATTGTCGCTTTTGAGAAAACGTGAATTTATATTAAATTAATATTTTATAGGAATGTTGTGTTAATATTTTTGAAAAATATGTTTTTGTTCATGAATAATCACAAGTTTATACATACCATACTTTTATTAGGAATATTATATTATTGATCTCAAAAGAGGGTAAAAAATGTGGAGTGAATATAATTTAATTTGTGTTATCATCATGCAAAACTTCGCATGTAAAATATAAATTTGTATAAAACGATTTGCAAATTGTAATTATATCCAATTTACCGAGTGTATTTTCATAAATTTTTCAACATTTTATTGAAAGAATTCTGGTGAATACAATTAAACCAAGAATGAAGCACTAATTAAAATTTAAAAAGAGAAAATCATGGCTTTTGTTATTCTTAATTGGGATGCTGCTAATATTTGGTCATACAGCCCTGAGGTCATATTTCAAGGATTTGCTTTAATGCATTTTTATTCATTATTGGTCGAAAAATAATTTTACGAGTATATTTTTGCATTTTCTGTATAGTATTTTTAACCCCTACCGTGGATAAGTTATCAAAAAAAATTAATAACGAACGAAATGAAATTTAAATATTAGTAGATGTCATCAGATAAAGTTCCAAGGATTTACTTTCGAATCGAGAAAATCACCAATCAAATGATGGGAATGACAAACAATTATTATAACAGTTTGTATCTTTTTTTTTTATGATTTCAAGCATGGATAAAGTATATAATAAAAATATTTGGAATAAATATTTACACAATAATGCAAAATGTACACTCTTCCTTTACACTATTTTTGACATTGCATTTGTTTTTTTTTGAGAAATGTGGGCGGGAAAACTATTTTTGTTTTTGAAATGTCCAATAGTGTTTTGTCACGGAGCATAACGTAAAGAAAGATGTAAAAAATAATATACATGTAGCATCATTGTAATTATAGTCTTCTTTTTTCCAAAAAAATAATTTATCAAAATTCAAAACAATGAGTAAATTCAAAATAAATTCCACGTCATTCACAATTAATTTTTCTTTGTTTTCTCATCGAGATACTAACAAAATTGAAAAAATGACCCGAGTTTCAATTTTACTTCCTTTAAAACTACTTCTAAAATAGGAAGTTCTTTTAAAAATTAGTTTCCATAACTCTTCTATAAAAAGCAAAAACAAAAATCATATCAAACTGGCCATTATCACCCACAGGGGAGGAAGAAACACACTAATCTGAGTTACTATCAAACCATTACATGGAAGGTCAAATAGAGGCCTTAATGTTACCAAAAGAAACTTTAAAAAGAAGCAGAGTTTTAAACAAGTTATGCCAGCATGAAAATCAAACTAATTATACAAAGAACCACATGGCTACAACTCACTCAGTGGAAACAATACCAAAGACTCCATACAGTCACACCCGGCACTCTCCCAACCACTTCTACTTCTTCAACACACTGCAAAGAAACAGTTTATCAGCTCACATCTATTTAAGCATTTTAACAGATCTCAACAAGCCAAATTCCAAAGAAAAAATAATATTAATGTAGCAATTTGAGTTCAAAACCATTAAATGTAACTGAGATATATTTAAAATTCAGAGTTTTAGTTCGTTAATCACTTAGTGTTGTACAAACTGTGTTATAAAGTTTTTGACGTTAACAACAGGAAGTTTCTGAGGTTCACTGAAGGTCTTCACGTGAACAAGAAAAAACTTAGAAACTTACTTGTACAAATAAGCAGCAATTCCCAGAATTATACACAGCAAAATGATGTCAATACAGAAATTTCGACTAGATCTCAGCTGGAACAAAACAGAACTCCAATTTAATACAGTATGGTTAAAAATATGTTGAGAGGGGTACAGCAAGTCTTAAATGCAAATCATAACCGAAGAGCTGCAGCTCAATCACCTGATTAACAGTGTCCTTCAGTCGGACATTGGTATTCTTAAGGTCAGCTGTTGCTCTGTCCACCTGTACGTAACATAATAGCTTAGAATTCTCTTTTACAACGTCATGAATTCTGCTTAATACCAACAAAGATGGGACCAAATTAGGCACTTGCAATCCACAAGTACTTTGGACCAATACAAAAATGAAGCTCTGTGCAATAAACACATTGATGAGAAAGTTTTGGTGATCAACCTGTCATGTTACTGGGCAGAATTATATTTTTCTTTTTTGTTTTCATGAAAACCTCTCGATGCTCTCGCAATATCCATTTGAAGAACAACTAGATGAGAAGTAAATTAAGGTTTATGACATTCGCATGCATATCACAATATGAATAAACATTTATTAATTAAACTAACGTGGCACATGCATTTGTAATAAATAATAGAACATTTGTAAAAATGAGACATCGGCTGACAGATAAAAACACCAAGATAAACTAGACATACTCTGGCCTTACTGTTTAAAATTACAAGATAATGAGCATTTCTACCTTGGTGTCAATCTCATCCATAAGAGGAACCTGCCGATCAAATTCCTGTCCGAATCATAATTGGAAGTTACGATCAATGAATATCAGGGAATAACAGATATAAAAAGGTAAGCTAAAAATGAAAAACAGAAATATAACAGAAAAAAGGTAACCTCATTCATGTCATGTGCCATGTTTTTTAAAGTATCTAAACCTTCTGCTATCGTGTCCAAACCTTGGTCCTGCATCAAGATGATATCACATCGCAAACAAGACAAGTTAATAATGACAATTCACTAATAATAATTCCCAAAAAGCATCCCCAAATAAGTCCAGACTATACTATTTCACTAAAGAACGTGCCTGTTTCATTTTCCGCATTTCATACTCTTGCCTGAATTGACTTGACCCTTCAGT